CACATAGACATCAAAGGGGGCTTGAGCACCTGCCCTTTTTCTTCCTTGAGAGAAAGTGCCCTTTTTTCTGGGGAGTTTTTTTTTTTTTTATAAATAAAATAATATATGTATTATGTGTGCGTGTGTATGTTTCTGTTTGTGCACAGCTTTCTCTGTCAAACAAATAAAAAATCAAAATATCAGGTCGGGTCGGGTCGGGTCGGGAAATGTTGAGGTTCTGTCGAGTTCCGATGCCTTTCTTTCCTCCGCGTCTCCGCGCAGGCGCGCAGCACAGCAGTGTAGCACACACTGATTACAGACTGGCAGAGAGCCGCAGAAGTGAAGCCCTCCCTCCCTTCCCAGTTGTGTTTGTCTCGGTGTGGTGGTGAGTGGTGATGAACAAAAGACTAAGCTACCTGTGCCTCCAATTTACAGCTAATTATCCAAAAGACGAAATGCAAATATAGTTAATTTGTCTAGTTACCATCCATGACTCATGAGCTACCATGTAATAAGTTAGCTAAAGTTTAGCTAAGGCAATATATTATGGGCATATCAGGCTAACTTAATGGAGAAATGACAGCTGAATACAGTAAAATTAATAACGTCATCAGAATCGCCACATTGATATGCAAATCCGTTAAGTAACTAAAATGCGCTGATTTGCATACATTTGACACAAGGCATTGCAGATGAATAGGATAAACAAAATAACTAAAGCATATCACCACAGAACGTCCCCAGTTATTAGTTAATGACTTACATCAAGAGACTTTTCCTTGAAATGTTATGTTTATATATGCAGATAGCTTGTTTTGGCTATTTTAGAAGAAATCTACAGAAGCAAACAGATGAGGGTAGTAGGCTTAAAACAAACACCTTAATGTGTATTTTGGAAATTTCCTTTCCATTAGACCAAAAGAAGACATAGAAGCAAAATAGACCAAAATCTCAAAATTGAACAGTACATGAAGTGTCCTGCCTTAAACAATAACTTCATAATTTTGATCTCAGGCTCCTCATCATAATAACTATCCATTCTTCATGTTGTATGCTGATAGATCTTAACAGCCCTCTCTCAAATGTGAAACAAAGTTCTTGTCACCATCAGTTTGTTTGTGTGTGTGTGTGCGTGTGTGTGTGTGCGTGTGCGTGCGCATGGTGCAGTAAGTGTAATTATAACAACATTGTGAACTGATTATTTTGTAGACATCTGTTGAAAAATGAAACAACTGGGTGAGTGTGAGGGAATTAAAATAAATTGGTAAGTAAGTCAGAGTTGTGTTAATATATTTAACATTTTGTTTAGGAAAAAAATTAAAATAAATATGAGAAGTGCCCTTTTTTCCACTTGAGCCCCTGCCCCTCAAAATGTCTGTGCACGTCCCTGACCAGCAGTGTAAATTCAATCGTGAAATGTGTCGTAAAGCACTCTTAATCACAGATCAATAGCATTTGTTGCCAACATAAATCCAGCAGGCGTGTTTGGTGCATTAAAGAGCTCTGAGCAAGAAGAAACAAATGAGAGCTGATGATTCTTTCTGCAGGATCAGACTCGTTTGTCATTGGCAGGAATGATGGGAACAGACGAACTCGGCCCTCCAACACAACACTAGATACTAAGACATACTGCAGACTGCATGCATAGAGGCGGAGGTTTTGATCATTCTGATTGATCGGTTTTGTCTCAGTTCATGTTCCTAATGCATGTTCTTAATTTCAATGCACACAGTAATGTTCTCAAAGTGTCTTTTGTCTTTACAACTGACAAGCCTGAACAACTGAAACAAAAATATAATATCCCTTATCATTATCTGTCTTGTTTTCCACTAAAAATATCCAAACATTTTAAACAATATTTTCTAACTAAAATTAGTAATGTTTTTGACCATAGTGGAAGAACATTTATGTTCATATTTTTGTTTTATGAAGTTATCTGAAAAATTTGTGTGCATTTTTTTGTTATACTCTCAAAATTAGATGCAAAACTTGTGTTGGAATGATGCAATTTGTGTGTCATAAGCAGTGGAAGGCCGTGCATTTCACACGTAGGCCTTCTGCGGTGTCCTACCTGAATTAATTCACATCAATATGTCGCCATGGCTATAGAAACCATCAATATGATACAGAAATGCAGTATAACAGGGCGTTGCATCACAGACAGGTATCTCATGTAGCGAGAATGAATGCCATTACTAAAGCAAGAAACCCAATTAACACAATTCGACAAGTTTCCTTTCACTGCAGCCACAGCTGAACCACATATATCATCTCTAGCTAAAGAATCAATATTAACCTAATCAAAATGACTAAAATAGTCCACCACGATGTTCTTACAGACATTTATTAACTGCTCCAAGCGTCGGTACTTCATGGCTCCTCGAGGTGGTGCTCAACACATGAATGAGGGAAACGTGAACATAAGTTAACTAGCCTAAGAAAAATAGTTTTTTTAAGGGGATGGCTGACAGCAGTGTGAGTAAATTAAATAACAGATCAGATGCCCCAGCCACGTTTAAGTCCAAAGTCTGGACCCACCTCGGCTTTTATACCATTGATGGGACAAACAAAATCAACAAAGAGTACGCTATATGCAAGAACTGCATTATTTGCATGTGCTTTAAACTTAAAGCCTTGCCGTTTAAACTTTTCATTCGCGTGCTGCTCTGACTTGCTGTTCTGAGCGCGTACACCTGAGGCGCGCGCACGCTAAAAAGCGTAATCTTTCGCGGCTGATTGAGCTAATACTGTCAAAAACACACAAGGTTTACATATAAACACAGTTGGTTATGTCTAAAGTGAAAGTAAAGAAAAACGGATGCGTGCAGCTCTTAAAGTGACAGTAGACTAATTGTTCTAAACATGCTGCCTCTTGTCATTAAAGGGATAGTTCACCCAAAAATTTACTCACTCTCATGTTGTCCCAAACCTGTATTAATTTCTTTCTTGTGCTGAACGTAAAAGATATTTTGGGTAACCAAACAGTTGCTGGTCCCCATTAACTTTGATAGAAGGAAAAAAATTCTATGGAAATCACTGGGGACCAGCAACTGCTTGGTTACCCACATTCTTCAAAATAACTTTTATGTTCAACAGAAGAAAGCAACTTGATAGTGAGTAAATGATGACAGAATTTTCATTTTTGCTGAATTTTGACAGAATTTTCAGCAGTTTGGACATGAATGAAGAGAGGAAACCACAGGCATTTTGTTTTCATAGTTAGATATCGTGATGTATGATTATAGGATCGTCTAGATATATATAAAGTATCGCAGAATTGCTGTGTCGTGATACTATTGGTATCGTGAGCGATGTATCGTATCGTATCATGAGGTACCCTGTGATTCCCACCCCATGTGTTTTAACATGTACCTGCCAATTTAACATACTCCTAGGACTTTTCATCTTCACGACGAGTCTCCTCACTGGTCTGCCAGTGCCGCTGCGGGAGGAAAAGGCCAGTTAGCACAGCTTGACTCGGAAATTAAGCGCTTAGATTCTTATGGAAACTTAAATGTTCCTTTATATCTTGCACATAACATCAGAATAAAACATATAAAGTGATTAAAAAATCAAAAATGAAAATTAACCTACCATGCTCTAGTGGGCTTTCATCTTCACGATGAATCTGTCACAGAGCCGTTGCCGAGGAGGTGTGTGTTTGTTTTTCACGGTCATTTAGTACTACTGTATTTAGATTTACAGTAGGCCAATATTTTCCCAGAATGTATTGGAAATCAACAATAATACTGTTCACAATGTATACAGTAAGAAAAGCTGAGAATACGGTAATTATACTGTGAAAACAACAAAAATTATTTACGGTGTGCTGTTTGCTACCTCTTGACTACTAGTATGCTCTCTGACCATCCTATCAAAGGACGTGAAAATGCCGACGTTATTGTACGCCTGCTAGATGGCCCCGGTGTCATCAACTCAAAATCTGATTGGTTAAACCGTGCCATTTATTTTAAGTTACAGTTGCCCGCACTGTTGATTCTGAAGGCCTCAAGGCTGATTTCTTTGACCCTGGCAACACATGATTGCTGAAATATGATTGCATAAAAGCTCTAATATAAACATAAACATAAACTACTGGAAGCAGCGCAACCAAGAGAAAAGCTATGAAATGAAGAGAATAGACTATTGGGAATAATTTAATACACATTCATGGAAAAAATATATTAAAACTAAGTCAGTGATTCTGATGTGTTTAGGCCAGCAGAGAAGGCCTTGCTGGCCCTGATGGCCCACCACAGGTCATAAGACTGGGTTGAATTTCATGGAATTACAATTCACTAGGCAAGGCATTTAACCATTTCATACGCAATGGTTAAAGTGCTTCAAATAAAAAGTATTTCAAAATAATCATAACAGATGATATAGACATAAAATCAACAATAAAATTTCATTACTTGAAATCAAACAAACATTAACTGAAATAAAATACATTTTCAGCTAGTTGCCAAGGCAGCATTTCTCATTTTTTAGTTATATATATATACTAATATATATAATTTAGTTATATATATATATCTATATATATATATATATATTAAAAAACTAATAAAAATGACAAAACACAACAGAATTACTAAAACTTTAATTAAACTTAAATTGAAAATGGAAAATATAAAAATTAAATCTAATTCAAAATATTACTGTAACTAAAACTGCTAAATACTAAAATAACACAGATCGTGAATTTCCACTACCCTAATGCACATCACTAAATGGTGAAAATGTGAATATATTTATGATGCCAGTGATACTGTAAATCAGTTGACACTGAACAAATATTCTTATTTATTTCTTATTAATATTTTATATCAATCATATTGTGTACGTGTGTGTTGGTAGGTCATGGAGACGCTCAGTGCGACAGCTGTATTGAGTACTGCTGTGATGGGGTTCCTCCTTTCTGCTGCTCTTACTATGCGTATGTGGGAGACGTGCTCTCGTAAGTACACACACATATACACACAGACACACACACATGTTGGGTTTCCATGTTTTATGGGGACATTCCATAGGCGTAATGGTTTTTCGACTGTACAAACTATATTTTCGATCGCCTAAATCTACACCTAAACCTACCCCTCACAGGAAACTTTCTGCATTTTTAGATTTTCAGAAAAACTTAATCCTGTATGGTAAGTTTGTTTCCTCACAGGGACCAAAAAATGTCCCCACAAGGGCAAGGATTTTGGATATTGCCATCTTTGTGGGGACATTTTGTCCCCATAACGTAGGGAATACCTGAACCACACACACATACACACATTCTCTCTCACACACACGCATGCTTTCAAAACACACACACACACTTCCTCACTACTGCTGTTTTACTCATGTAAAACATCAGCATTGAGTTGACCTCTGACCTCCCCTCCCCCTCACACACAGCTGCTTGTTCACTTCAATCTGAAATCCAACCCACATCCCATAATCAACCCTTGTGTCCAATTACATCAGGGAATTCTGATGCCATTTTACATAAATCAAACTATTTTTTATGACCACAATGGTGTTAAAGTGATACAGTTTTTTTTTTTCAATTGCTAACGAGCGTTTACCAATATTAAAGTACTTTTTCTAGACTCTTAACACAGCAACCTACATCACACAATTAGCCAAAAAGTAAATTTTCTGGCCAAAACCACATTTTGTTAAATAAATACAAACTCTACATTTCAAAATGTTGAATACCTTTTTCTACATAACTCTATCAAAACACAGCAAACCCGATTCAAAATCGAGTCATTTGGTCAAAAGGTGAATGGGGCTCTAACCAGCTCAAGAAAGGGCACGAAGCAACCGCGCGAAGCCCTCACCATATAGGATTTTAGAAAAGAACGCAAAGAACTAGCGTGCGAACTTACCACAATGTGGATTTTAGAAAGTGCACAAAGCCTTCACGTGCACACTTACCATAACATGGATTTTAGGATACCGTTCTAAGGGGCTCTCGTGGCACTCTGAAAGAGCAGCTCATAGATGGAATGGTGCATCCCAAAACCAATATGTTTGAGAGTCACCAACTCGATCTAAGGCATAAAGCTGGATTGGCTAGCAGTAAATCTCTAGCTGAGGGGAGGGGGAGGGGGGGTGACTCTAGCTTGACTTACTTTTTCTACATAACTCTATCAAAACACAGCAAACCCGATTCAAAATCGAGTCATTCGGTCAAAACATTAGCACTACTTTTGTATCCAACAGGAACATATAGTCAATCATAGCACAGTGACTGTCAAAATACTAACAGTTGATGACTTTACAAAAACGTCTCAGGTTACTTATGTAACCATGGTTCCCTGAGTAGGGAACAAGACACTGCGTCCTCTAGGGGGTGCTATGGGAAATGCCTCGTCGTGACCCGTGTCTGAAGCATACATTCAAAAAAACACCAACAACACGTTGGCCGGCGACAGCCCATTACGTCACTACCGGTGCGACTATTAGTATAAATAGGCGCCGGGAGAACATGTCATTCACTTCTTCGTCTGAAGCTTGCGTTCGAAGCATGGCAGGAAGCCTAGAGGACGCAGTGTCTCGTTCCCTACTCAACCTTCCTTTCAAGAGAACTTCGAACTGCGTCCTCTAGGGGGCGCTATGGGGAACGGTATACCCACGCCGCCATGCTGAGGGGAATGCGGGCCAGAACCATGGCGAGCACTAAGTACCAACTTTACCATTTTCATGGTGAGTTGCCCCTGGGACGTCAGACGGCTGTCCGTGACTTTATCCCCTACGGCCAAAGGCCTAGGCTACATACCCAAACTTATCTGTTAGGGCCAGACTCCTGGGCCCGGGGTAGAGCTCCAGGCTTGGAATCAAAATGGATTCCTTTAAGATAGAGAGATAGCTAGCCAGCGTCTCTTCTACAGGGGGCATCCTCTCATAGCCGTTTTCACGCATCGCCTCGATGTTGGCATAACTCGTATGCTGGAACCGATAGATGCGTGAGGAAAACGGCCTCTTCCATTCCTTCTCGATCTCAGTATGCAAATCAGGAAGAAATGGAAGGCTCACCTAAGCTGGAGGGTTATGGCCAGAAAGAAAACGCTCATCGAGTCAACCTCGCGACGTCACTTTCTTGGGCCGCTTCCACGGCAAGTCCAGCCTCGCCGTGGCACGATCCATAACTTCCAAAAGCTCATCATACGCAGGGCAGGAGGATGGAAAACCCCTCTTCAAACTCATCGGCCAGATCCACATGCGATCCCCACAAGCTCATTCTCCTCCGTGCCTCAGCAGCGGCGGGTCATAAACCGCGGGAAGCAGATGGCTGCCCCTCTTTTCTTGAAAAAAGAGACAAACGAGAGTGGAGTTTTTTCTTCGAAAAACGCTCACAATGCACGCAAATTGCCCCCTCAAGGACATCGCGTGCGTGCTCCTCGCCCAAACAAAAAACGCAGAGATCGTGTGTGTCATCAGGTGTCAAATAGCGATGACACGGATGCACACATCCTCTAAACGTTCTGCTAGTGCTCGCCATAATAATAGGATAGAGATCGCTCTTACCACGTTCAAATGCACGCTTCAAACAAAACAGTCATTGAAGACGAAGAAGAGAATGACATGTTCTCCCGGCGCCTATTTATACTAATAGTCGCACCGGTAGTGACGTCATGGGCTGTCGCCGGCCAACGTGTTGTTGGTGTTTTTTCAATGTATACTTCAGACACGGGTCACGACGAGGCGTTCCCCATAGCGCCCCCTAGAGGACGCAGTTCGAAGTTCCCTTGAAAGGGAACTGCATTGCTTGTCATGTTTCAGTTCTACCTGCATATAGGCAATACAAAAATCCATTGTTTTTTGTAATTTAGTTACCTTCAACTGAAACCCATTTTACATTTTTAAAGTGTTGAATTTGTTCATTCTTGGCAATGTACTGTCTAAAACTGAATGAGTCATTACTTTATAGAATATACAATAGAAACAATAGGGTCCTTTATGCAGAAATTCAGTTGGAACCTTGATTGAAATTGCTTTCCAGTGGGTGGGGGGGACTATTCTTCCAAATGAGACTGGAATCAACTATTTCTATTATCTGTTTCTTAAAAATGCTTATCAGTTGTTACAATATTTTATATAGAGAGATTGTTTCAATACTTTTGAGCTGCTGCTGTTGTTGCAGAAGTAGAGGTTTTGCACTATATTTAAAGTTTGGAACATTAGGTCTTAATTTCTGTCATGCTGTGTTTAAGCATTTGTAAAAAAATAAATAAATAAATAAATAAAAAAGATGAGAAAGATCCATGATTTGGGAATGGGGTAAGCTTGTGTGAAAAGAAACTTTAAGCATTTTAGAAACATGTTAATTGACTGAATATTGTGTGAAAACAACATGAATTTGTTAATGGTATGATAAGAACAGACCAATGTTGTGCTAATTGTGTATAAGAGTTGTGAAAATGTGACTACAGACTGGACAAAGGGATGTTTGCAATTGGAAAAAAACTGTAAAAGCAACTTCAGATGATTTCACCTATGATCTTTAATATCTTCATTGTTTCTCTTATTTGGAGACTCCCAACTAACAAGGAATATTCTCAGAACATTGTGTCATGGTTCTCTCTAAGTTATGAACAATAACACAAATGTAACATTCGTTTGAAGTTATCTGGTCTTTATAGTTGGTGTTTTTTAAATTGCTTACACAGTTTCTGAAACTATGGCTTCTTTTCTCTAAACTCTACACACAAAACCACAAAACGTGCACAAAACATGCAAAACATTAAGCATCACTTGCAAAAGCAAATACTTCTTTTAAAACTATTTTAACTAAAAAAGCTGTTTTTGCATAGTAACTCTACACACAAACATCAAATGTTTAGCCATATACATGTCAAACTACACACAGATATGACGAATGTAAAACACTACTATCTTCTGTCTTTTGCTTGTTCAGTGTGCAGTGGAGTTTACAAGAGTTTTTCTTCATTTGGCTCAATTTCCTAAACCATTCATTCAGTTCTCGAAACAAAGACAAATTTCTCAAAACTTTTAACACATTTCACCAATTTTCACACACATTCCAATTTTCTGCAAAACTGATGCCCTCATTTTGCACGAAAGTTTGAGGTTTGTACAAGTTGGTGTGTAGTTTTGTGATTGTGTTTATAGTTGTGAGAAAACAGTGAATTTTGTTATATATACTTAGATGTACTTGTAAAAAAATACACTGTAAAAAAATTGCAAGGGGGTACAAATAATTTACAGTTTTTCTGAATTGCTAAAACACTAAACCCCAATCTCTGAACCAAATTCTTACTAGCTTAAACCAATTTGTAGAATAAAGCACTCTTTCTGCTAAACCTTAAACACGTTCAGGCAGTTAGGCTCTATTTGCAAATCTCATGCACTCTTTTTGCAAAACTCTAATTGCCCCCCCAAATTGTTAGTCATGGAATCCCTGATGTCGGCCCAGCTGCAATTGAACGCTTAGCCAAGTGCTAAATACCATCAACGGAGACGTCACGTCGGATGGCCGACAAATTGGGATCTCGCTTAGAGAGACCAATCTACTTCGAGTGTAAACTAAACGAGCCAATGCACATTGGCATGCGATTATTGCGTCAGCGTGAGTATAAGTAGGCAGCCGGCTGGTCTGAGGTCCTGAAGCTTTGCGTCCGGTCTACGTAGCACCTTAAGGCTCGGACGGGACAGAGCCAAGCTAGGGCTGGGTCTGCCTCCTCTGGGGGCAGCGCTTGCAGGCTCACCACCAGATCCCTGAAGGGAGTAGTGGGAACCTTGGGCACATAGCCGGGCCGGGGCCTCAGGATTACCTGGGAGTCAGCCGGCCCGAACTCTAGGCACGAATCGTTGACCGAAAATGCGTGCGGGTCCCCTACCCTCTTGATGGAGGCCAATGCAAGCAGGAGCAGAGTTTTCATTGACAAAAACTTCAGCTCAACTGTCTACAAAGGCTCAAATGAGCCCTGCTGTAGTGCTCTG